TCTCTTTTCCCCTGCCACTTTACTCTGCAGTGTGTGAACAAATCCCAGACTAGTGTGTGGTAAATCTGCAGCTTCGGTATGGATTTCATCACCACGAATGGAATTTCCCCTGATCAAGTTCAAATGTTGAGAAACTTGAGTTGGACGGACGACGCCAACAGAGTACAGATATCTCAAACTGACTGGCAGGATTTCTTACAATTCAAATTCAAATGGCCCATCTGAATGAATTGAGAGAAATTGATCTCCAAACTGTATAGCTGCCAAATTCAAAAAATTGTAAAAGGGAATTATACAATACGTACATACGTACTTATATCCACCCAAGAGTATGCATATATTGGGCGACGAAAAATATTTCAAATACGTCAGAAATGACGGATTTTCACTTTTCATTTTGATGCATTTCAATCAGATCCAACTCGCTATGATTCAAAGGAAACAGACACTGTCGTCATCAGTATGTACAGGAGGATGACTGTCGAAATAGAAACAGCGTCATATGTAGTACTCCGTTTGGTATAATATCTTCATCTATAATATCATCCATAACATGTGTGGCACGCACTCGGCTGATGGCTATGGAAAGATGTCGGCAGCAGCCAATAAGTCGCCTTAAATAACACCGGGCCGGAAAGGCTTTTTATTCATATTCGGAAAGTATGCATTTGGCCATCTGTGCAAGTGATATGATCTTCACTTGACTCTTGGGGTGAGTTTCTCAGAGAGATTTGGAGTGAGATTTTTCGTGAGTAAAACGTAGGCAGGGAAATTCCTAGGTGTCCATGAAATGCAAGCAGAAATTCTTTTTCTTAAGAAAATTCTATCTATAAATGAAGCAATTCATCCCTTTGTGATTAGTCAGCTTGGTCCACGCATCCATCGGTAAAATATATACAACTTGTATATATTTTGTAACAGTATAACATGCTTGTATAATACAAGCATGTTAAGTGTATATAGTATTATTATTCAACTCATCTCGTCCAGCACTACACAACAACCTTAATAAAACACATCTTTCCATTTCATCCTGGATGGACTTTTCTCGTCTTCCTCAGCAGTCAACAATTCCAACGTCACACTATATTCTCATCCATATGCAGAAGGAAGAGGTAGGACATTTTTTCTTGTGACTCGATGCGAGAGCCAAGTGAATAAAAGTCCCCTACATTGCACATTTCGTGCGAGTACAGCATATGTATTATTTAGAAGGTGGTACCCGTTACCCAAATTCCAGAAACATAAAAAGACCTTCTTACGGTACTTCCATAGTGCCAGAAGAGAGTTCTTTGACTCAACAATCTACTTCCTCAAGTTATAGTTTTATATTTGATCCTCTTCACTCTTCTCACTGCGTACTTGGAAATTCATTGGCTGGAGGATGTGAGTAAAGTAACAGGAACGTAACATGTGCATAAAGAATTTGCTAGAGGATGGAAACTTGAAACACATTTCAAGATTTTACAACTGAGGAGTACGAAAAAAGGGATGACGCGACTCTGGCATGTGTGTGTATCGTGTAATAATTTAGTCGCATGCACTCACAAAAGGGCCCCCAAGTTATTGTTGTTATGTACTTCTTTGCTGGGATGTAATCCATGTAGCATAGTCACATATTCATCTCAGAAGGCTTTTTATTTCCTTGGATAAACTGACCCCAGGGCATCATTCTTATTCAGCAATTTTTCAATCCTCAGCCTCGTTTTTTGATGCAGATGTTCAAAGTGGATCAAAAATGCTTAAGCAGGTGACGCATAGCTCAACGTCAGCAATATGTCAGCAATATGCCTTTAAATTCACACGATTTTAAATTGTAGCCTGTATCATATTTCAAGTGCAAATGTACACGGTACACATATTTATGCATGATGTAGTCACCCTTAATTATACAATTTTGCAAAAATATACAAAACACTCCTCGTCAACTTGGTCGCACCTTTGTGAAAAATTATGCCACACCTAAAATCTCACCATATTTAGTATTCGTTAACTAAATCCAATTTCTCCCTGGTCTTCGTGTTACTGTGAATGCATTCTAGATGAGCAATTGGAACATGCTTTTACCACTTTCGTTGCAAATGATGGAAATATTTTGGGAGAGAGTGCTTGTAAATCACTGCAGTTAGTTTGCTAGTTTGCATTAAGGACGAAAGCTTTTCGAAGTTTAAAATAAATCAGAAATTAATTCAACATCATCATCGTCAATAAATATCAATGTTTGCTCGTATTCTGGCTGATTGGAAACCAGAAATACCGGCTACTGCTTTATAACTTCAATGATGTGAACCATCAAGCAAACAGATATTTCTCACGTTGTTCAATGTTTTCATGCGTAAACACAATAACACAAAAGAGATGAATGCAAATTCCAACTTTTTTGCTGGGTTAAGACTCATATTCAAAACTGAAGGAACTGCAATCGACTACACCATCCATCCATCCATCCAATCCACCCCCAGCATGCTCAAGCGGCATGGCAAAAAGATATGTAGGGAGGTTAATTTCATGGCATACATTCACTTACTTATGTATGTACCTGCCTACATACTTAAACCTATTGCCTACCTATATGTACACATGTAACTGCCTTCTTAGGATTGGCTCCTCTTACAACATTCACCTGAATTTCAATCTCTGACCAGGTGGAGAGATGAGATGAAGATCATCCCAAGTTTCTACTTGGAATTTAGAGTACATCAAAGGAATGACGTCCACTCTTGCATTTATATCCCATTCATTCTCTTCTCTAATCGCTTTAGTACCCACTACTAAAACCCACGACTCATCACATCCACCTACAATTACCCTGTACTTATGCCATGGCAGGATAATATGTATGTATCCTTGATACTCGGAAAAATGGAATCCGTCCAAACACTCTTTTCGACATTTTAGCATTTTATGGAGCAATGAATGAAATGTGCAGTTGCCAGTAAAGCGAATAATACCTAATCATATGGTATTGTTATTAAAGCAATTACCAACCCAGCTCAAACCTTGTTAATTCCCCCTCCACACACCGTCTCATACCCTCTCGGTAATTTTCGCTTACTGAATATGAAAGACTACAAGCTTCTCTTTGCTAGTTAAATATAATACGTAAGCAGTAAGTGCTTACAGTATGGATTATTAAACTGCAAAAGAAAAGCAGTGATAGTGCGATAGAAGCAGTGTGGTCAATTCCATAAATTATTATCCCAAATAATGAAGGCAACATAGACTTGGATTCGTTATTTCATCCATAAGTGACGAGTTGCATCAATTTTCCTGCAAAACACGCAATGCAGGTTAATTGAATTCGCGTAATTATTTTCAATCATCTTGTCCAGGTGGTCTTCGTCTACTTACTACAGCGAAACCAGTAGATAATGAATTAGATTGCTCCAGGCTGCTACTTATCACCCTGCTTCTCAACCACTGCCATAAACTGAATTTTTGGCAATGGTTCAAAACTTCTGTCAAAACCACCTAACTGATTAACTAACAAGATTCCCACCGTACCACTCTTAATAAGGCGGGAGTCGCTATGTACATACACAGGTACATATGTGTACAGTGCAATGCATACGAGAATTCGACGGTCATTTCCTTAAGTATGAATCTACGGTGAAGACATTTTTATATGACGAATGGCGTGCTCAATGAAAGTTAAGGTTTAATCTAATGTCGTAATGCAAAATCTACTTACTACATAAACGATGAGTTTGCAAATGTTAAGAGAGTGCTGAGGTCAGTTTGTGCACAAATTTTTCCAATAACCAAATCATAAATGTGTTGTAAATCTCTATCGATCGTACACTGATGTGTGTACGTAGTGCAGAAAGTAAGACGAATACGACAACTGGGCTTAATTCCTTTAATTCGAATAACTGAGGATGAGTGGGTCACTGAGAAATGTTTTATGTTCGAGTAACAAAGTGTATTATTGGGCTACGTTTTTTGCAAACAATACCAAAAATGTAATCAAATTGCAACTCGCTTCTTTCAGAAGACATATTTATCTCCTCTCGGTTCTTCAAGGTAACATCAATACAATTTTTATTGATTGAAAGAGAGTGGAGTTTCTTCTCCCCATTTCCAGTATTAACTGGACTCTGAGCTGGGGCTATTTGGTTATTATTATTATATCCGGACCGACATGTTTGATGCTAGTACAACAAATATGTCATAACAATTTATGAGATTTTCGCATCTATTTCTATTTCTTTCTCTGCATGTCTCTCCCCAATCTCCAAAAGGTCAATAAAATGCTCATCCTAACATAAAAAATTAACGAGGGTAACGATCCGTCATCTCTGAGAGTCACGTACTACTGGTTCCATGTCTTGCAATAGTACCGATGAGATATAGAGCTCTAATATTGCAATTCCCAAATTCGAGTAGGTTAAATAATCTGCCTGCCGATTGTAATTGATTGTTGAGAATTAGCCAGTTCTTTGTCTATGTCACTTGGTCATAGGTCGGAGTCCTATGTAATCTGGAGTGCGGTGTGCACGATTTTAAGCCGGAGCTCGTGAGGTCTCCAATCTATACTTTTGGCGTCTCCAAAATATCATCATTTACAATTCAACTAAATCATGCTTGATTCACAAAATTTGCCTTCAAAGCTGCAGAAAAAGTTTAAATAGATGGACTGATACAGCAGAAACATGCCGTATTTTAAATAAGCTGTATACGGATTAATGTATGTTGCATGTCATGGTCAGTCTCTCAAATAGATGAACCAATCTTAAAATAGAAGGTATAAAGTTAGCAATTCATTCCATGAATCAGGTGTAGTTACCAGCGTGGGAACGAGATGCTGAGGAATGTCATGATTGTTTAATTTTTTTTCGAGAGCGACGCATAATTGATGCAACTCCTCGTATTTCCAATTTCCATCTTATGTAATGTATATGAAAACTGCACACCCACTGGATGTTTCGTTGGGTAACTAAACAATCCTACAGATTTTGATATAAGATGCGAATGTGCTTTTTAAGTCAAAAGGTGCTTACCCCATCAATATCCCCTGCAATCACAAATCCTGATCGGGCCAGACATAAGCTGACCAGAAAAATTAACAATAGTCTTCTTGTGTGTGCCATTTTGAATTATATCTCTATCTTCTTATAGGGTAACACTTTGAAAACTAAAAAACTGTGCTCAAGATTTATAAATCTTTATTCTCTTCAAACAATTAACTTAAGCTCCTTTTCAGAACAACTGAACTATTACTCTGCAGAAAATGTCTCGCGTTTGCTGGTGTGTTATGTGGTAGCGTGTCTTGCACCAGGATAATGATATGCCGATGACGTTAAGTCGTCGTCGTCAGTATCATTTTATGTCATTTTATTGTCACACAATTTTTAATTAACAAAATCCAGTTAACTTTGCACTTTTAAATTCTCGTACGGTTAAATCACTGTGGTCAAATATTCTTCAGAAACACTGATAACTGCGGAAGATGATGATATGGTTATTCAGAAATTCAATCTCCGTAGCTTTATTCCGTTCCAGAGGTCCGAAGAGCAGAATACGAATAATTCGCAATATTCACTCATCAACTATTATTTTATAATGTAGCTGCTGTTTCCTTTAGTCATTCGCACTAAAGATTATTGTAGCATCAAAATAGAATGAAGATGCGTTTGTCCACTGCTTCCACCCTCTTCGACACAGTGATGGCACTAAAAGAATATTGTATATATATACACATGATATGAGGCTAGTATAATTGTACTAGGATACTAATTTGCAAATTGCATGAATAATTCGCAACCCAGGGTCACTCACTCACTCACTTTATCATACTTAATTTTGGTGCATGATATATGATCACCATTTGTGACAACGACAAGTCAAGCTTGTCTTCTATTCCATGCATACGTACATCCTTTCATCTTTAACACTAGTGACTAGGTAGAGCAGAAATTAACAAGAAATAAAAAAAATTGTCGAGCTTGACTTGTCATCTCAACACAGACACAGACAGGAATAATACTCTCATCATCCATGCCATAATATATATATATAAGTAACTATATAATATGTGAGTGAGTGAGATGTGAGAGAGGGGAGTCTTGGTCAATAAAAATATTATGTGATTGGATTGGACTTGGATATCGTCAGTTGTAAAAGATGGAAGGAATTGGAGAGAGAACTTAATCAATAGATAACATCCCATTTTATTATGTCACAAGATGCAGATTATTATATTGGTTAACTCTATCCATTCATTGTGGATATGGTCCATCGAGTAAGTGGATATATTTATATGTCCAATTCAGATAAAAAATGGTGAGCGAAATCAGCGGAAATAAAATTCGTAACGCAAATGCAAGCATAACTTTTAATGAAAAAGTATTTCATAAAATGAAACAGTATTTATATAACCAACTAAAATATGTCATACTGTATTCAAACTTTACTAAAAAAAAATACAACAAATTATTCATCACAATTCACAACTACTTAATCCAAAATATATTTACAAATTGGTGTTTAATCGACTTTTACTAATTCACCTACAAACGAGTAAATAGAGACAATTGAAATAACTCCGAATCCAATCCAATTCATCATTTCGTTAGGAGAAGGAATAATAAAACTGTGATTTCCAACTTGTTTATTTACATCCATTTCCTGCTTACCTTTAAAGAGATCCCGGTATAAGTAATGTAATAAGGAGCCGTGTTGATGTGTTCTGTCTATTCTTGCAAATCTATCCCGTGTTTTGTGACTTTTCTCTCTCTCCGGATCTTGTTTCACTGCTGGCAGATCCCGGGTGCGGGTAACAACGCCATGATAACACCGACTGTAAACTCACTCTCCAACTCGTATTGATTCCCCCTGTTTTATTAGGAGCAAGATGTGAACCCTCTTCCTCAGCCAAGTCAATTCTACCAACTGCTGCCACTACTGCTTTTATGCCAGTCCAGTTGTCGGCCACAAACTCACAAAGCTCTCAAAGCGCAACTCCCGACCCAACAACACACTCACCCAGCGACGTAGCCCACGGAATCCTCTCTCAGCCGGCGAAGAAGGGCCGGGGAAACTATTTACACTGGGAAAGTTTTCTACTTTTTCGGCACAACCAAATGTTGTATGAAATAACATTTGAGCTGGTAGCTCTCGTGCGATATGGGGTGGGTGCCATATGTGGAAAAGCAAGTAAAAGTAAAGGATGCAGAAGATTATGCTGCTGTGTGTGTGTCTCCTCAGTTTGATGAAACAAAGGAGAAATGGTATCAAATTCCGATGAATGGAGTTTCTTGGTTTTATTGGAAGGGACACGTGTGTCATCATGATAGCAAGAAGAACGATGAGTAGAAAATCGATACAAAAATTTGGGAGAAAGCACGATGTGACTTATGAAAACGGTCCAACATTTGATGCTTTCACATGAATTGGTAAAATTTATTCTTGTGTGACACAATCTACAATACGTTCTACATATCTGACAGACGATTATGCACATTATTTATACAAGAATTTGCATGTTTGTGTATGTGCATCATTGTTGAGTTTATTATCCGTTTTTAAAATGCCCCATTTAAGATTGATCTTTTTTGCATCATAGAATTGAATAAAACATTGCAGTTCAAAAATAAAATAACAAACGACTGCTTAATTTCCAGATTTTTCTGCTCATGACGATTGACGAGTGCGCTGCACATTATGACTATGATTAAGTTTGCGTGGCGTGGTTGGCTTGGTCCAATTTCCCCAAGGTTAGTATTTACTTAATGGAAAACGGATTTTGTTTTTTGCACTAAACAGCAAACTTTAGACTGCTACTTGCATACATAGTTAATACATACCAATCAGTCCTCCAGTGAGTAGCATATACAGGCTGCACACTTGCATGTATCAACCATTTCGTGAGATACTGAAAGTAGTTGAGAATTTGCACAATGAAAAGTGCAACTTGAAAGGAGTTTAATAAAACCTTGAGATTTTCCCTGAATTGAAATTGCTTTTGAAACGAGTATGCAACACGTATGTATATTGCCTAAAAATAAAGCATGCAAAATCAGATCTGAAAATGCAAGACGTAACCACAGACATATCGCAAGTGGAAGAAGATACTTCCCATAATCAATTTTCGTTATCAATGATTTATTTTATTTTTAAACATGGCATAAATTATCTTAATCATCGTCTCATTTAATGTTTTTTTCATTCATTCTCTTATATTTTATTAATTTCATCGAGTAACTTTCTGAGTAGTTTACATAGTTAACTTTATTTTTAGTCCTAAATTTCCCTTCGTCATCTGCAGCATAGCAGCAACAGGGCAATTAAATTAATTCATGTTCTATCAAAATGCTTACGAGCGACTGTCCCCCATTCGTCCTCCGACCGAGCTCCGACCACCACACAACTTGATTGACTTATTATTATTCTTATTACGACGACCTTTACATAAGCCAAGCCCACGCCAGGCAAATTAAGTATCATTTTGACAGTAATAATATTGGTTGGCGAATCTTGTGGCTTCTTTATCAAAATGCCAAAATCTAATAATTATAATAACATTTCCTTCCCAATTAATAGCAACGTCTCGTATATAATTTGATGGTTTATACGTATTGGTATTTAGTCGTTACACAGTATTTATATAAGTCGTAGTCTATGTATGTATAAACTCACCTGGGTTTCAATTCTGCGTGTAAGTATGTCCAATTTACTTGTTGGTTTAATAATACATGGAATTAACCTCTGACACTAATAAAGCGTGCGTCTAATATAGGTATGATCTATACAGTCATTTATTACTATTAGCGAATAACTGAGGATCCGAATGACTATTTTCATATAAGTGAAACGCATTTAATAAGTAATAGCAATTACCTTTTTAACAACGTTACATATTTACGTGGCGAATAAAATATTTCATTATTTTTAGGTATGCATAACTATCAGAGAATTTTGTCGGAGATATTATTTTGACTTGATAAATTGGATAACAGTATTCCTTGTGATATACTTTAGACTTTTAAAATGGTGGAAGAGTGCTGCTGCTGTCTAATCATATTAATATTATTGAACGCCAATTAATTGTTGACATTGCTGTTAGTGTTTTGTTGTAACAATGCAGCTAAATAAATACATTTATATACTCGTATATGTATATAATGCTGGTATTCAGGAAAGAAGGAAACGTAAGCTCTGTATGCGTCGAAAGCATTAATAGTTTAAAAAGAAATTTTTATAAAAAATTGTATACAATGTAAAACAAAGTAAATTATATTTTCTGATTACACTTGTATATGGTATTATTTAGGACTATAGGATCACAAAAATTATATCATGTTCAAAAGCGTGTGTGAATAAATATTGTATGTAATGAAATCTTGTAAAGTTATATAATTCTATTTTAACATAGATGTATATAAATACTATGAATCATTTTGATATAAAAATCATGTTCTCATGTAGATTGTATTTTTTCAGTGTATTGAATGAAACGTTATGTGAATAAAGTCATTCAACCATTTTCTCATTTTAAAAACTACTTCACGGCAATAACAAGTGACAAGACAAGTATTTTTCTCAATTCTTCTTCTCTGTGAAGTGGAGAAAATACCGGAATCGACTAAACGAGTAACTTTCGCCATGCAGATCCTTGTTTGTTTGACAATGTGTGAGCAGTGAGTGAATGTGATGATAATGAGTATCAAGTCAACTAACTAACTACATGACAGTTAGATAGTACTATTAAAACATTTATGTAATTTTGGCTTTTTTGGGATTGAGTAATTTTTCATAATTTTCAGTATTCATATTTCTGTTGTGGTAATACTGTAATTTTAATGGCTCAGTCAACTATTACTTTTGATACAATATACACTTGCAATATTAAATATTATCAATCGACAGTCTTTAGTATAAATCCTGTCAAGTGAAGTCAAGTGTGGGACAGGAGATATTTACTGACTCGTGTACTTTTACTTGCTAAATGGACTTTATGGGGCCGTAGAAAACGTTGTGAGAGAAAGTAAAGCCGCAATATTTCCTTATCATTATAGGCTTTCATAAGACCACATCTTTTGACTGACTGAATCTATATATCCAAATCCAACGCTTACAAAAATGTATGTAAAAATCTTTCCAAGCATCATGCACACAACTGTATTTTTATGATATTAGAAATTGTTATTGATATTCAAACACCCAGTCTCATTCATGGTAATTAATGTGTTGCTCATATTCAGCTATGAAAAAATAACCATCTTACTTTACCCCCATTGTTTCGTATTTCTTAATTACTCTACAAAATTACTGAAAATTGACTACAAAGTTAAACTCGCACATTTCTACCATGTTGACGACCGACTATTTATACGTAAATACGTACGTACTCTTCTACGGAAAAGTGTATAATGTATCTTATTCTCCTGCCAAGAAGAATAGCGAAAATAGTTGTTCACTTCACATTCCTTCATTGAGGAGGAATAGTAACGTTCAAGGTACTTACTTTTTTGTTCCAAAAGTGCAAAGCATAATACTAAGCATACAATAAATTTTAATAATTGAGAAAATTAATGTGAGATTCTCATAAATATCCAGTATTTACGCATGGACATGTATACAGATTTTGTGAGATAATAAAAATCATACGAAAACACAATATTTATACAACAATAATATAACTGAGCCAAAATGTCTCGAGGAATTTGAAATGTTGAGATATTAATTGGAAGAGTGCAAAAGTTTTTTTTTCTAATCCTAACAAGATCTTCGATAGCTGGACGTTGCAGGGGTTGATGTGGTTGTTCCATAAGCTGGAGATCCTGACCCAGAATCGTAATATTGTTGATAGTAGTAGTAATAGTGCGCAGGGACGTCTAGAGATTGACGCTGAGAAGGGTGATTGTTGTAGTCACAGCGTTGTTCTTGTTGCTGACTACTGCTCCGAAACGGGGATGAGTGCTGAGAATGTCGAAATGGGTATTTATTGGGTCGTTCGCTACTGGGCACGAATTGCTTGCTGCCGGGTTTTGAAAAGCCATGCTTGGGAGAGTCTACGGAATAGAGATGATGTCAGACCTGAAAAAATAAATCATTGTAATAAAGTAACCCGTGGACTACTAGTGCATATTAGAAGACGAATAATTTCTCACCATTACAACATCTTCTTTGCCACAAAATAGAAAAGGAAATTGATCAATCTGTGAAAGAAGAAGTTATTAAACAAATGTCAGGTAGGCAATTAATACAGGCAATCAAGTTTAATTAAAAATTTTGAACTAACCATTGTTTGCACCAGATCTTCCAAATGAGGTCTCATTCTTTCAAAGACCAGCATGTCTGCAAAACTAAATGGCAATAAGGTCGGCCACCAGCAAATGGCGAGATTCTTAGAATCCATCGCATTTATCCTGGAACGCATCAGTAAATATTAGATTGCATCATTCTTATGCCTCCTGGTTTGAAGACATCAAAGTAATAATAAATGTAAACCTTACCTGGACCGCTCTGAAACTCGTACCAAGTGGGAAAATACTATACGAAGTACATTGAAATTTGCAGATGGAAGCTGACGGAGGAACTGTTTGAGTTCCAACAACCGTAATGATCTATCCGAGATCAATGCAACCTGAAATTGATATATTTCATGAATACTGATTATAATATTATTGCAGTTGTGAAAACATATCACAACGATAATCCAGGTATGTATGTAGAGTAGAGTATGAAATAATGTAAAGCTATGTAATCAACTGACCCGTTCAACTTCCATCATCATATCAGTTGGAAAAGGTGGAGGCAACCTTTTCGCTAGAAAATCCTTCAGAGCTAAAAAAAATTAACAATTTCAAATAAATATTATTGAACTCACGTTTCAAATACATGATCAATTTGAGGTTTGAAATATGTTTACCTGTGGCTACGGCGTTGACTGGAATATCCAGAGAATGAAGGTCAGTATTTGGTTCTTCAGCTAACCGAGCAAATAACGCTTCTACATGAGCTCGATTTCCAGGGACTCTATAGCACAAAATTGCATAATGGTATTATAGTAACCGCACAATTATTGTACAGTTTTTATCAAGTGTAAGTAAATACCGGTAAAGTCCTTCCATTTCCAAACCTTCGTCTTCGATGAATTTTACACACCGTTCCAAAATTCCACCAGGTGATGATGCCTCCTCAAGCTATTTATGCAATTTAAAATTCAACCAATAAAATATACATACAAAGAAGCCTGAAAAAATGTGCAACTTTTTTTTACACTTGTTCCAAAATTTGGTGGAGTCTGTGGCTGTTGCTCAGTTGACTTTGATTTGGTCAGTTTCTTGGGAGGTTTCTCTTTCTTTCGAGATTTATCCTTATTCTTATTTCCAAGATTGCTCATCTCTTCTTTCAGTCTAGCAAAAGGTTTCTTTTCGACATCAACTGGGGAAGATGCTTCTGAATGTAAAGAAAATTAAAGTTACTTACATATATTCACTACATACGTAACAAAAACTGTATATAAGGATTCCAAACAGACCTGAGCCCTCGTCCATCGTGAGAGATTTATTCGTTCTTGACCCTGATAATCCCGAAAATACCCCAGAGTCTCCCGAAAGTTGATACGGCACGAATCCCTTCGGTACCGTTGGTATCGGCGCAAAGATCGCTTTGGGTTTAGCAGAGGGATGATGCCTTGACCGACTGTTGGTTCCCTTTAAACTTTTCTTTTTGTGTTTAGGACGTGAGAAATCCTCAGGGTCAGACACAGGAGAGGCGGATGAACTAGAGTCACTCGGTGGTGGAGGGAGTCGACCTAATCATTTATAAACCCAATTTAATGCGCGAGACAAAATAAAATAAAATGCGACTTTGACTAATGAATAATACCAGGATTTCTTCGAGCACGGTTTGAGCGATTCCGACCTGACGCTGTGTCGCTGACATAGTCGTCATTGGGATTAAGATTCGAGTAGGGTGGAGATGTTCTAGGTAATCGCATTCTTGACAATGCATCTGTGACCTAAGATTAATAAACGCCTTGCATTATTTTTCATATTGGACTCATCCTCAGCTCAAAAGTCCCACTATGAATTTAATTGGAAATTTGGACAAGACTAGAATTCACAGACTTTGACTTTCTTCGAGCACGAACCCAAATCTCAAAGTTTCAAACATTTCGTCTTTTACCATAGTGTACTCGGCCATATTGATTCTCCCCGGAACGTTATTTCCATGTCCTCCTCCTCCAGGGTTGACCGCAGTTGCATGGCCATGTTGCCGCACTTGTGTCGACATTCCATTATTGTTCAGAGAACGACTAGAATGATGACTTCGCCTCCCAGTTGCTGAAATAATAGTGCATATTATTACTTGATAAGTTCCGTATGTACATTTGTACGAGCAAAATAAATTGCTTACCAAATGCGAGATACGGTTGTTGCGACTTAGCGTTTGGAACTCCCGTTCCACCCAAATCTCGTTGACTTCGCCTTGCACCAGACCACAGATTATCGAAATCTTTCATTACACAATTGTCGGATGCAGATGGTTCTAGTTTTGGCTTTGGGCCTTGTTGTTGTTGTTGTTGACGTTGATTCCGTATCCATGATGGTTTTACAAGGGCATCCTCGCTCCCACCTCCGTCACTGTCACCACCACTAGGAAGTTGCTCATAAATGTCATCAGAGTCATTGGTGGATGCCAAGTTTCCATCTGACGCTCCTGGTGGCCTTCTTGAGGGAGCAGGAGGGGCTCTGTACAATGGTGGAGATTCCATTCTAGGAAGACAATAAGACAAATTCAAAACAGTCATGTCAAGAGTGCTTCACACACTCGAAACACAACATTTACATAATACCGGCGCTATCAGACTTAGTTTACGCAATAGCAAACTAATTTTATAATTCTATCATCTTGCGTTTGTGAACTTGTTTTGTTTGTTCAACATTCTCTCCATACTTCTAAAGAGCTAACTAGTCTAAATCGTCATTTCCACGAATTCGTCGCTTTTTCTATATCGTCAAAGCTAAATTTCTTTGATTCATCTTTTGGAAGTATCCAAACCCAGCAAAAGGTACTTGTCCGGGGTAAATGAAGCCTTTATTTTATCAGTTCAAATAAAAAAAAACATTGAACCTGCATCAGAACTCCTTATACGCATATCACTTTTAGAATTGATAGTGATTTTGAATTTTTGTTTCAAATCGGCTGCATACTGAATTGATTGTCAATTTGGTCGGTTATCTACTGTGTAAAATAATTCTAATGATCCTGTACCGAAACATTACATAAGCTTACCTGAATGCTTTCTCAATATCGCTCTTCTGGTCCCACACTTGGCGGAAGAATGGGGTATAAATTCCCACTGGACAAGAAATTAGTTGATCGATTAATATCATACATATCATGGATGAATTTATTCATTACACGATTTAACATATGCATGGTATCATTGTGCTTGTTTTACTATTTTACTAACCTATTTTGGTATAAATTTGTAACAAGCCTTAAAAATTACCCGTGTGTTCTCCACTCCATGTTGCAAAATGACCCCTCAGCTCATCTGCCAGCGCATTCCCATCCGTTATAAGTTTCTGTCCTAGTGAGGATCCGAACATTGTCGACGCACCACCGTTTTCAGTAACTGCAAAAAAATACAAGAAATAATGACAAGCGAAACAAATTTGTATCCTCTTGTAAACGAAATTAAACAGTTTTACCTGCAAGAACTTGAATGGGTAAATTTGGAACGTTCGACGAGAAGGCTTTCAGAGCTTTGAATGAAGCCTTTCTTGAAGCCGAATAAACCAGAATCAACCCATGTATCAATGACTCTCGATGCGATGCAGCACCATGGTAAGAGGACATCATAATCTAGGATCACATAAATAATAGTATAATTATTATCATAACTACGTCGTACATACACAAGTATACGTGCGTGCAAGTGATATCATGTATGTTTTTGAGCTGATTCAGTACATGGTGTGTAGTTGCACTAAATGATCAACTTCCTGCTCCAATAAATAAATAGGGGACGTTGAGTTTCGTTACAGGACTGTGTCCACATAACCAAAATAGTATGCCATTTGAACTCCCCATGTTCACAATATTTCAACTACAATGCTGCGGGATGAGTAATAAAACAGTCATAAATCTCAACATCAACGGCAAATCATTAAACTCAATCTCAAATCTCTGGCCCTGATGAAAGCGAATTTCATGTCATGAACTTTGCTTTGTTTGATAGTTGACATTCATGAGGGGTGTCATTAATATTAAAGTATACAAATCTTTTTGTGGGTTAATATTTACCTGCACACAACGGCGTCTGTCGCCTAAAAATGTAAGGAGGCTAATGGCTCTGTCATCCGTCTGTTGGGCAGCAGGCAAAGTAAATAACGGAGCGATAAGAGATCCAACGTTGTAGGAATCACCGCAAAACATGCACATGATAATACAAATATCTGGAGCTTGTCCTGCTAAAACAACTTGTGTCCCAAATGGAGGTTGATTTGGATTGACTCGATCTCTTAAGCTTCTGAATACGCAAATAGAAAGGCAATTCGAATTAGAATTTCCATCAAACTTAACCTGTATTTTATGTACGCACGCGCATGAGAGGACATGGACAGTGAAGGGGACATTAATTAATCGTCAACCCATTCGCCCATGACCTCTTATCATAGGATTATCCATCCATTCAATCATCATACATGTATGCATAGAGTAGAGGCACTAACCTCACTAGAGATTGCAACGCTTCAGCCAGTAGTTGAGTGCTACGTAATGCAAAAAATAACGTTTGTTGGACTACCTTCGAATGTAGTGTGACAATGGACAATATGTAATGGTGGATTATGAAATACCTCGGTTGGCCATCCGATCCACTAACATCCACAAAACCACATCCCAAGCTGTCCGCCAATGATTGCCCTTCATTGCTTAGCATTTCCCTTTCGTCCAAGTTTTCAATGTGGCCAGCGTTAAAGACGATGACGACTGGGGGTTCTGCGAATAAGGGGCCATTCTCTTCCGCTGCCAAATTGCTCAGCAATGTTTTCTCCAAGTACGCTTTCGTGTCGTCCAACGTTTCTGCCGAGGAATAGATAACCAGTCTGGATTGCAAATGCCCCGACGTATTTGAGGGGAAAGTTCCTGGAATCTCGCCACATTTGAGATCAACCGTGTAAACCACGCCATCAAGTTCATATTCATCCTCCTCGCATTGTTCTTCCAGACCTGGAAAATAACCAGAAGAAAGAGAAAATTCATTAAAGAGATGGAAAAACTTTGATTGACGGAAACAAACATAAATTCTGAAATACATAAACCAACCAAATTGGTGCATAAACCCCGACTACACGCAGAGCGAGATCAACACCAGCCAACTCGACTGGTAAATAGCTACAGAATCAAATTCCCTCACTCACTTGGTACAACACCAACGACTGGTAAAAAATTATTTTTCTAATTGACTGAAAAAAACTACATACCTATAAACAGCACCTATAACTAACTACTTGTCTCATATGAATTACGAATGGTTAGCGTAATAACATGAGTTCTGGCCATAATTTCTCCATCCAACTCACCAATCGACTGAGTGGATCATTAAAAGTCTTCCCAAAGACAAGCAAAACAAAGCACGAAACCAGTTGCTAATGAAATAGGAAGAAGGAGGAGGAAGTTAACCAGAACTCAATTTATATATCGCATCGCTGCACTGCACGCTACAAGATTCTTTCTGGTCTTAACGCTTCCAAAGTAAATAGATCTCATCGTGAGCATTCGTTGTCGTAAGTCCATCCGCCCGTCAGTTAAGTTCATTTTCATTTCGTATTTTGTTCTCTCTCTTTCTCCCAATTCTGCTAATTTATCGATCCATACCAGAACGAATATCAGAAGAGAAGAAGACCTGGTGCAATCTAACAGTTGAAAAGTTTGAGCAGAAAGCAAGTTTCACTTACAATAAGTCTTTCTCTTTCCTAAAAACCTGCAATTAACGTTCAGATGGAAAGGTTTGCTCAAAATCTGCCTATAAATCATAAAGAAACAAATTCACTGCCTTCTCCCGTGAGACCCTTCAAATCCTGGCTGTCTTGCACCCTTGCTCATTTTACATTTCAGTTTCAGTGTGTGGTAGGCTTTCAGAATCTACCACTCGTGATGCAAGAGAAGTGGGCGAAAGGAATAAATTTACGTCCACCTTTCTCCCAATGATATAGTGCCAATAACTCACATCCATTTTAATTTACATGTATGTGCTTTCACTTGGCGAGTGAAATCTATAACGTTTTGCATCCTTTTTGCAAAACCAACCAATGTTTTTTAAAGGGCTCATAGGCTTGGATTTCAAAGGTTTAAAGGCACACAGGACCAACGTACATATGCAGATATGGGAATATATAAGTTTGATCTCCCAGTGTGGAAGTAGCAAACTTTTATTTTATTTTCACTCAGCACTCACACTCACCGAAACGGACAGCGTCAACAAGATCTGGGGATCCAATCAAGTACAGCGTGAGTACAGCATCGGTGGACAAGTTGTTGGAGTTGCCATTATTGAAATGTGTCACTTTCGGAGCTGATTCCAGAATCCTTTCCACCTGTTTGACAAACAATATAAAATATTTTAAATAGCAAGCTATCATCATTACTCACTCTGACAGCGGTGTGAGACAAGTAATGGGATCGCCCGTCACTTTAAGTTATGGCATGTGCATCCCTCACACTCGCACAAACAGCAGAAATGAAAGAGCAAGCTGAGCAAAAAAGCGTCAAATGTTCTGACAGATAGAAAAAAGTACATCACACCACAACCACTCTCACATCCGATCCAATGGCATGACATGGACTCTTATTGTAACAAATTACGAAACATTGCTCTCGCAGCTGTATCTTGTGCTTGGGCGATACAATTCTGAAATACCAACCGTGCCATCATCTCCTTTCCAGTATTATTACAATATTGGTGGGTGTGTTGGTGCAAAATAGACGACGCAACAACATCAGCAGCAGCAGCGAAAGCTTGCCACAAAAGCTATCTTTATTCCAACCCACGCTTATTTCATCATTTCGAGAAGAACGAGTGAAAGTCGAGAGACAGAGTTCTCATGTTACTACACACAAGAGCCATTTCTCTCTTTCTCTTGGCTGCAGCCAGGGATGAAACGTGCTAATAGCTGATCCGTATTTATATCATACAAACTGCGGATGAGGAGAAAGCAAAAAGAAAGCAGCAGCAGCAGCATGGATAACATGAGTTGAGAGCAGAACAGGATAGACTAAAAGCAACACCGACGACGAACTTGGTGCTACCAACCGACCTATGTATGTACCAAACCAACACCAGAATAACACCGACCGAGCAACAAATTCTACCCGGTCTCACTCTCTCAGTTGTGTGGATCGATACACCCACTTTCGATTCTTGGCTCTGCTGCGAGCTGATAGAGAAGTTCAGCTGACTCTGAACGAAGGACAAGAGAGGCATGAAGGCTGGGAAGTAGGGGAGTCTTGGAGCTTTATTGCTGCCCATGCTGCGAGCAAGTTTCATCACCATGAAATACCTACGAGAGAAAGAAAGGCCTAAAGTTCTCTATGCCTCTTCACTTTCTCTTCCATCCCCCACGCTCTCCTTCCCATCTTCTTCGTCCATCGTGGGAGACTGTGGATGCCAACCATTATGTTCCTCACATCCACCAAAATCCTAAACCAAACTGATTGAGAATGAATATTTATGTGTTAAGGAAGAAAGTGAGGATCAGATCATAGTTAACTTTTCGAAGTTCAATGCAGCCTACTACTGCACACAACTTTCTCTTTCTGTCAACAGAACAGATGTATGCACATACATGTGTTGAGGCAGGAACTCTTTATCTGTTTCTATCTGCATTGATTATGTTACCTCCAAACAACATTGGTAAGTAATGCCCGAAACAGTTAAAAACAGTGATTTCAGAACGGGAACCTATCCACCCAACCCGACAAAACGCGGCTATCACTCAACGACTATGAAGCAAAGCTAATCCTCAAGAAACAACAAAGCTAGGCATCTAAACTACTAAACTGGAAAAGAAGCCGACACACAAGGATTTTGAACCAAAAGTGAAGTGGAGCAGAATATCACCATCTCTAATCCACAGTGTACGTTCAATCATAAGCTATTATCTCCAGTGGCAAGAATCTGCTTGGCATGGCATGATTTTCTCTTGCTCTCTCTGTCTCTATTGCTTTCAATTCGATCAATCTTCTTTCAAAGATCCCCGATGGATGTGCATCCGGAATATTATCTCCCGTACCATACGGGGGAAGGAGTAAAGTGAAAGTAAGACAAGACCAACCAGCTTTACTCTCCTTTTCTTACCAAACTTTGCAAAAGCATGATGTTTCTGTAAACTCTTGCTCAGTGGAGAAAGTTGTCAGTAAGGAAATCTGTACCATGTGAGACGAGGAGATTTTGATTCCTTCAAATTCATTCTGCCTGCAGCCAAATAAGATTCGCTCGCATACGTAGTATTCCTTTCCTCGCATTATATCTAACTCACCCTCAGATTCTTTACACTTTCACTGCCATGTATGCATTGCATACGTAGGTAGGCATTGCCCATGTTCAGTCGTGATGATGTCCAAAGGAAAAATAGCTCCAGTGTATGTACTGCATTATGCTGCTGAATGCCGACCAGACAACCAAAGGGTGCCGAGGAAAAGAGCAACTTCAACTAGTTTAAAGTGAAACTAAAGTGAACTATTGCGTCGCTTCGCCCCGTTGATTTTCTCTTTATGTATAAACAAGTAACAAAATCATTGGCCCACCAAACAGCTACATACATCTTATAAACGGGATATGTATATGTGGGTAGAAAAAAGAAAGCAACGAATCTTTCGGGATTCAGAAACCAACAGACACTTCCTTCCTTACATCGGAAATAACTAGCAAAGTACAAAATCAGGCAGCCCACGTACAGTTTGGACAACATATGTACATGTGCAGGACGAGGCTATATAAAAATGTGGATACAAGTGAGGTAGAAATGAGACGGAGATAGGTAGGCTGGGTCCTTCTCGATACTATCAGATAGCAAAAGTGAATCGATAAATAACTATTTGGACCAGGAAACTCAACCAAGGAAGTCAACATGAATAATACATCAACATCAAGCAACTAACCAATTCTTGGATCCGTCAAGTACCACAGCAAAAGTCATTTACTCCCCGTTCTCAGGAAAAAGTTAAACACTGCGCAAACAGTTTTGCCCAGAGAAATTGAACGACTCTGTTTGTTTTTCTATTTCCCCGAAAATGGAAATCAAGCGAGAGAGAGAGAGGAGAGACCCGGTAATCTTTTCCCTCACTAAAGCTACCATCATATCTTGATGTATGCGTATACCTGTGGAGACTAATAACTTTGCCGTGCACATGACATGACAGACAAACGAGGCTGAATTCATTATGAAACATAAAACTAGCACTAATTTGACACATATACGATGATAACGAACTCCCTTTCAGTGAGCGAGTTTCAACCAAGGTTTCATTTTTTTTTTTACTGAAATCACAAAAGTGGACTATTTGTTTCCCAAAAATATTTGAATCTGTATATCATGTGCATACGTACAAAAAATAATGCTAAAAGTTATGATGGGATTTGCATCTATTTCTTCAAAGTTTTTGGGCTACGTGGAGTAGGAAGCAAATTGAAAATTTTATGTTTCGCTTCCAAACTGCACATGACATTTCCATCTTCTTCTCAGTAAATCATTCACGCGCAAATCACATTCCATTATCTCCTCCCCACTTTCCATGATTGATATCTCTCTGGTCTCCACATATTTTTCTGAGCGTATTATAACAGGCCAATGAGCCATAACTTATTGAAGCTTTCTTCAGCAAGACAAAAGTTGGGTTGGAATACCGTACACAGTATTTATTATGCACGGCCAGTATTGACATGTAATAAGTTTGTGCTCTTGGTGGTGGTGGTGGTTGTTGAGGAGGGTGATATTTTATAGGACAGTGATGATGATAGCAGCAGAAGCATTATTATTCCACAGGAGGCGGTGAGCAATGCACGCATGCAGTACAAACAAGGTAACTTTCACTCTTCTCCTTCCTCTTACTCACCATCGAGTCCATGCAGTTGGGGTAGGATGGACAATGCTCTCGTTGCGGACAGTGAACAAATCCTAAATGCTGTAAGAGCATCAATCTTCGCTCTTGATCCAACCGGTCCAACGCCTTGTAACGCGAGTCCTCTTGTAGAATCTGGATGGGCGAAATAAAGTAATTATCATTCACAGTCTTTACTCCTTTACTATTGATCTGTTGGAATTAGAATGTATGGAATTTCGAGTAAATCTTCCTGACCTCGAATATTTCACGGACTTGCTGTTGGGTTATGGTGGCCATTGGAGATGAATCAGATCGTACTTGAGCGAAAACTTCGGCATGTTCTAGCATCAGCTCGACAAATGCTCGTTTAGCCTTTTCAATTAACTCAATTTGATGCTGCAGACAAAAAATTTTAAAATATGTTAACAGTTGCATAGAGAAATTCTTACTGTACGTTTGTTATTAGTATGGATTTTTATGCTTAAAACACTGAAAGTATTTTTACTTGTTCATAAATTGCTTGAATTTCCTGGCCTGTTAGCGCCTCAAAGCATTCGTGACCCATGAAAAGCACCTGTAACTCATTCAATGATTTCCCTGGCGTCACCTGTAAGAATACAAAATGAAAATGATTAAAAGGTAAAACTACGCCGACGTCTGGATTATACATTATTTAACTTACGTATGGCGTGTTGTCCAGAAGGAATTTCTGCAGGAAAAGAAACATTGAAATGAAGAGATTTTTATATCCATACTGACATTATGCATTAGTGTCCAACAAGCAACGGCATGACATTTCAACATGCTCTAATATAAGTATCTGTACAAGATGCGTATAACTAGTACGAATTTTGTAAACTTACAAACTGCTGTCGGTATTCTCCTCGCTTTCGATCTTGTTGTAGAGAGTTCACCAAATTTCTCCATATCTGCAAAAACAATTTTTATAATACTCATAAGTGCTTCATAAGTTGCGCAAATATGCATTCTAAGAATGTTTTAATATCCGTGTCTTTAGTCGTGCTTGTGAGTAAATCAACATCTGTTAGTGCTTCGCTTGGAGTCTAACCTAATAGATAGTATTGTGTCCTTTTGCATGATACATATTCTTGATTAGCAAACAAGAATGTGGTAAACAAACTTTCACGTCGTGATAACACGACGTAAGCCGCTTTAAAAATCAACGTAGATACGTAGCTTTTAAATATCTAAAGTCTGTCTGCACATTGTGTAAATAATGTTTCATAAACTTTCTTTCATCAGGTTTCCCTATGGCCATTTTCATTCATTTATGCGCAAATTCGTCAATTTCCACTAAAATCTATAATTGTGTTTGGATATTTGTATGAAAAAGCTTTATTGATCAACAAACAAGAGACTAACCGTTTCTGCTTCTCCAAGATTTAGCAAATCCAAAGGAATGCGGCCAAGATCTGAAACATCAAGAATAATTCATAAGTTATTGTGTATGTACATCTCCACCTATTTAGATATTTAAGCTTTTATAGTCAGACCTCGGTTTTCTCTGATGTTGGTCTCGGTTGACGACTCTGCAAAAATAATTGTATCATGTAATTAACCACAAGTTGCCTTTTCACGTTTGTGTTTAAAAAACACCACATATTTATCAAAAGAATACGTAATACTGATATTCATTACAATACTAGATGGCAATCAAATTATGAATTAATTACCGGATCCCCAGGTCCAATCAGTTTCTGGAGCTAACCCTGATGGGGCCACAACAAAATATAACGCACACTCTGGATGCTCCTACAGACAAAAACGTACATACATCATAAATCATAAAATCACTCGATTTCAGTCACATTATAAAATAAATAATAATACTCAAACTTGTAGGCAAACATAAAACAAACTCACCTTGATTCTCTGAAGTACCATGTCCCATGATTGATTTTCAGGCAACTGGTCGGGAAAGAGAGTTTGCAAAATCTCTGGTAGTCTTTGGAGGGAACGTAAAAACAAATTAGATTCAAAAGCAATAGAGATTTAATCCAGTCGTAACATATTTTGTAATAAAACATGGCAAGTTTGGTAATACTTTTCCAGGTAACGACGTTCGCGGCGAGATAGAAATTCGTCCTTGAGCCGTTTTAAGTGTCTTCGAAAGAGTCGTTGAGCACAGTCTTCACCAAACAACTCAATGTACCTGAGGAATCATGAGGTGAAAGCTTAGAATTTATATTTGTAGCGTTATTGAATTCATTGTATGTGAGGTTGTGCATATTTCAATTTTGCATGTTGGCAGTTGGCACTAAATATGTATGTGACAATTTGTCTCACCTTTGGAAGGCAGGATATTTAAGAAGTTCACGATACACTGGAGTCCTAAATAAATGAATAATTCATTAGTCTCATTGATTCAGTGCTTCATTTGAAATATTTCGAAGAAATCGTGCATTGATTGAGCAGAGACAGTATTAAGGGTAATGATGCACGAGTAGAAGGAACTTAATCCATAAAGTATACAAATTCAAAGTAAACACTTACCACACTGATCTGTGATCTGTAATAAATTAATCATCAAAATCAGATCAATAAAACAATGGTTCATACAATTCTAGTGAGTAAAATAGCTCCATTATTTAGAACTAACGCTGAATATTCGTAGTATTGCATAATTACGTAATCACCTGTCACATGCGATTGGATTAACGCTTGGAATGAGTCGGATACGGAGTCAAGCATGTCCTTCCGGTTCCTCGCAGTCTCATTGTAAGACAACGGCCTAATTCGGTTCCTAAATGACAAGAAGCATGTACGATTATAACAGTTTGATGTCTTATCCAATACGGTGTCCAGTTTGCTTAAACAAGAAAATTATATTTGTATCATTTCCTTACTTCACTTTATCTATTAACTGAGCTAGCAAGAGAAATGCCACGTCTACATTCACGTTGTCGTGTGAGGAAGTTTCTACAACTGGAATATTTAGCTGGCGAAACTCCTGCGAAATAATATAGTACATCATGAATTGTGACTTGAAAGTTGAAAGAAACCATGAAAAACCAAATTATTTATAAAATTACCTTCCGTTGGACGAGCTTCTCTGCTTCTTTCACATACGCTAAAATGAAAATTGAGTGAAATAGAATGTAAATTCAGGATTTGTAAAATGGAAAATATTACACACTAAAAATGGTAGTGGATCGGAGGTGGTTATAAATATGCATGCACCATGTACATACAGATACATGAGCAAGTTTCACCCGTGATCACGGTGTCAAGAGTCAATTTGTTTGTTGGGTATTTAACCTTAAATCACTACCATGATGTATCAAGCCTTACCTTCACATGCTTCATCGTTTTTCGTTGTCACCAACACCACGGGCTTCTTTGTGCGAGTTATGTTGTACAGAATTGCGGCTGAAAAGTCCGTTTGCCGATCTATTGAGCGTCCTGAAATTTTGTCATAACCATCTATCTTGAAATTTAGTTTGCTGTCATTTATGGTTTAATTGAGGCTATATCATAATTCACATAATATTTTCTCATGATTTCCCAGAGCAGAGTTGGAACTCTTTGTTGATATTTGTACATATAGAAATTCTACAAAACTGACGACTTTACTGTGGAAATTCACATGAATTGTGGGCCTAGTTCCAAGAAATTCCAAGATTCTTTTCTTATATTTTTTTCATCTACAAAAAGTAAAAGTTTTGACTTCTCCACTTGGCCAACCATTCGATATAACGCCAGGGATAAATTAAGGAGCTCGGTTCACTGATACATTTATAATTTAACAAGCTCTCAAACCTTCAAGGTTTCCGTCCTTTCGCCCACCACCACCATCTGAATGTTTGCTCTGCTTTCACATTTCACTCACTCTCCGAGAGAGAGCCAAGTTGACAATGAACAGCACTATATGTAATTCGGAGGAAACTAATGGTTCGCTGGATATACTGATGGCATGACATGACACGGACAAAACTAATCCATTTCAAAATGGTAGTGGAGCAGATAAAAGCAAAACATCAAACAAGTTTCACTCGTTCAGGACTTATTTTCGTTTCGATTTCAGCATAAGCTGTGGCCAAACAACTTAATTAATACAAACTCTAGCACATCATCTCGAGATGACATTGCCTTGAACAGTCACAGTCTGTAATGTTTGGACAAGTTGACAGGATTGGTTTGTTGGTTATAGTAAAGTGAAAGTTGGCCGATAAATATTATGTCATTCTAGTTTATTGAATCAAATAGACCAAGTCTTTACTCCATTTAGCTGGCGTTTTGGGAGGGACAACACCTTCTTAGGCTCTGATGAAGACAATATTTAATTGTTGAAAGCTTGGTTAAAAGTATACTGGAAAGGTAAAAATAGCCATCTAGCCCGTTTCATAACACTTTAATAAATAATGAGAGGCCGGAAGGAAGTCAATTATTCTGGATAATTTACTTGGAAATTCATGAAACTTGTGAGTGTCAACAATTATGTCGTTAAATTCAGTTTGCCTTGCTCATTTTCTTCATCAGCAACGCCACGTTGGCGTCGCCAACTCGTAATATGTATAACCCTTCTATGTCATTTTAGGACAATTACCTGGAACAGCTGAGACATCATAACAGAGGATAAATCCATCGATATTTAATCTTCCATCAGGCATAACCTTCTGCTCGTATTCCTTTTCAATTCCCAACTGTAAAATTTTCATTGCATGGTAATTATATCATCATCAGGTACCAGACTTGCATTAGTTCATTATAAATCCAATAAGTAGTCAATGGATTATCAATTTTAACTAATTGCTAATTACTGATTGAATAGTTTAATTGATTAGTTTAACTGCAGCAAACAAATTACAAAATCTATGCTAGGGACGACAGAGCCTAATAATCACGATGCTTTCACTCTGGTCTATCATCCCTTAGCTCAAAACGATTCATATATTTCCTGAAAAATCAAACAACATCTCACTCGACATGAATTCATGGAAGCCAACTAAAATATGTGGTGAAGATTGAGATTCTGCCTCACAATTCATTATTGAGCTACGTTACGTATGCAATACATGTTTACTTTCGCAGTGTATTGGAACTGAGAATTTATGAAAATGGTAATAGATTATTAGCATTTTATTCAACCTTAGCTTGAAATGAACATTTAAATAATAACATGCTAAATCTTCAGTTGTGAATGTTAGGAAGCTATCCAGGGATGGAATAGTCAGTTGAGGTAGCTACATAACTGTAAATACTAAATAGTTCTAATACCAAACACTTACCTGACTCTTGCAGATGTACATCAACTTTTCTGCAGAATACACCCTCGACGACGCACATCGTTTGGTATAGGGCTCCATTTTGCCTCCCTGCAACATCAAAGAGTTTATAATGATGAGGACAAAGGAGAAAGTGGAAGAAGACGAAATTAAAGAGAAGGAAGCCATGTGGAAATTTGAAACGACAATTGCCGAGCTTACGTTTGCTCCACATTTGTCTCGCCAGAGGGAAAAGGAGAATTTCAACCCCAGAATTTAATAACAAGTAACAAACGTGACGAAATAAATAAACGAATTTAATGCATGAGCACTTTTGAAATTTGTTTAATCTGCTCTGGCAAAACTTCTTTGTTGTTGTGGAGTTGGATATATCCGTGTTTGCACACTTTGTCCGGTCCAATTTATAATAGTGTAATGCTGGGTTTTAACTGAATTGAATGTTGGACACGCAAAAGAGAAATGGATAAAATGTGAAACTTTCTCCCACCAAATTCTACTTTCTCCAGACTTTGGAGACAATAGAGATGTGTCTTTGTTGTAACTCTCAAAGCTGTCTCAACTTTGTTGGCTCCTTTAAGTACCTATATGTCCTATAATAACATATGCTAATAATTCTCAAAATGGTATAAATAAGTCACCTTGAAGGGTTGGAATGTTGCATCATCAATAAACTCGGTTTGTTCAACAAGGTGAAAGCCGATTTCAGGGCTATCTTCCATCGCTTTGGTAGAATAGCCCCAATATAGAAAACTGTTCAAATAACAACATAATGACATTTATAAAAATTGCATACAATGAATTTTCGCTTCAAATCCTCTCCGTCAATTTTTTTATCAACGTGGTCATTACCTATTATCTACAAGTTACAATTGCATGCATAAGATTCTCATGTTCGATCGCTGTTGTTAGGAATGCACGTAATAGTAATACGTAATGCGGCATAAATATTGAATTGGGCAGACTTACTGGTCATTGTTGACAACTCTCCCACTGAAGTCGGTCACGCTGAGAACAGAGATGTGCTCCGGAAAGTAATCGTCCGCACGGGATCGCACGAATCTATTACACAAACAGGATTTTCCTATCCCGATCTGCCCCTTGTCCTTCTCCGTTCCTGTAATTCACAAAGCAAATTCCATTAAGTTCAGATATAAAAGGTGTGAACGAGGACCCCTTCCAATTCTATACGTGTATGTCAACAGGCACAGAATTTTCACCCAGTTACGGGAGCGTCCGCATTTGTCTGCGTAAATACAATGCCCATGGCGATCTTGCGTTCAATATGCTGCACAGATATGTAGAATCTGGGTCCGATAAAACAAGATCATTTGACGCACCACCATCCTGATGGTGGCTGAATTTATTTATTACACTTTATGCATTACAGCAACGAGAAGACTTCGTACGCAAATAGGCAAGCCGACTTTTACAACTATGCTTTTACTGCACATTTGCTTTATTTCACCTCACTGAACTTGGTCTATCAAGTACGAAACAGGCTGCTCTCGCTACTCGCGTAGTCTGGCAGGGGTGGGAGCTTCGACGTTCAGAAAAACTAGAACCAATTTTTACTTTGTCCATAAAAGCAAAAAGTCGCTCAAAATGGCTGTGTATAGGACATAGCTTTCCCATTTCGCCATCGAATGAATGATTTCTCCTCTGAGCGAGGCTATAACATTTCTGCGTACCATGAGTAACAACTTTCACAACTTTTATGAAAACATGTTGATATCCAACATGCAAACGAAAAAGTCTGTTTGTTTATGGGTTCAAAACAACAAGAACTGGGAATCAGACCCACATACCTACATATTCATGGAAAATGTATCTGCATTCTGCATAGCGTCTCGCGGTGCTGTGCCTACTAGTCCATTATTGCCAGTGAAAGGACCACAGTATAGGATATTTTGTAATAGTGGTGTGTAATAACATTCACTTTTCTGTTAGCTAAAAACGCGTCGTGTGACGTTACGCAATAAAATACGGATTGGTAATATAAGGGACATCACATAAAAGCGAAACTGGAGATGGAGAAAGAAGAATGGTGTTCGTCGACTGTCTACCCCTAAGGTCTACCCATCAAACCATGGCTTTCCAGGTTCCGTCTCTCCTTACATATTCTCCTCTGCGGCTCTGCTATGCATTTGTGTAATAAACCACGTTCTGGGAAAGGGATCAAACAAGTCCGATGCTCAAATACCTCAAAAACCTTTTCCAAAGTCCCACAAAACCATGTCTCCGACGCAGTTTTAATTTTCCGTTCTCGAACGAATGTGACAGCACCATTCCCCTTCCAGTCGTCACCTGCGTACAGTTGTTTTCGGCCACCAGAACTAGATTTTCTTGTCAAGTGGTTGGTGGTATATTTTATGTTTCATTTCATTCGTAGTGACGGCGTCCCTTATATTATATGCTCTGCCATGCCCACCAAATTAACTATTTAACGCCGTTTTAACCCCTTCGGCCCAGTCTCTCTCTTCCAGAGTTGTTTGCTTTTATTCCACTTTGCGACAATTTTCAGAATAAATGTTCTCTTCGCATAATTGGGTAATTACCTTGAACACGACAACGACTAGTCCGCACTCGGTACTCTCAAAGTCAGAACCTTTCGACTTTCGAATAGTTGTAGCCTAGCCATACAAGTCGTTGTATGGCTACCGCAGAATTTCATCATTCCTCAAAGTTGCATTAATTTCCCTTAATTATTTGTGTAACAATTGTACCTCGATTCTGTAGAAATAGTGTGGTTCCTACTCTCCTTCGCGAGATATGTGCATGGAAATGCAATTTAGAATTCATTGAGTTTGCTCACTTTTTACTACTGGATGGGTTGGGCGCAGGGGTTGCAGCTTGGTCAGAACAGAAAGAGTACAACTAAATATTTTAGCTAAATTAAATATATTCGGCATCGTTACTATCTACGTACATATGTCCATGTGCACGTATTTACTATCTCGTAAAGCAAAGAAGGTAGGAGCAAATTCGATATACGCGTCCCTATGCTGTACTGACTGACTACTTGGCATAATTGTGTGCTAAAAAAGTGTGTGGCTGTTATGTTGTATCCTCTGGTCTACATTTGAGATATTCTGTTTGGGCAGAGTTGTGGCAATGGTGTCGAAGTAATAAAAAAACCGGTGCCACATTTGTACATGTATTTGTATATGTGCATATAACTCGTTAACTGAGCCAGCGAGCGAGCACCTCCCCAAAACAAATCAAATTCGTCGTAGTTTCTTCTTTTAATAAATAATCTACTTCTCGGACCCACCAACCACGATAAAGCTAAAATGTAGTAGGCGAAGGAGACCCACCAGACCGAAACTTTAAATTAGTTACTCTTGACACGCAAGGGACGCGGAGTAAAATAAGAGACATATATATTGCCCCACAGCACGATTTGTAATGTGCTCGTTTTATTATAAAATAGTAGTGAATGAGCCGTACCAACATTTATAGTAATCTAATTCTAAAGTAAGGAAACCCCGAATTGCAAATAAAAATGGAGCAGCCCTTGTGTGTTCTAATCCGCTTGGTGCATAATTGAACATGTCATGACAAATAAATTACATCAACAAATGTTGCATAAATAAATCCACTCAATTTGACTCGATTGTGCATCAAGAATTTGGCAGTAGGTGATCGGATTGGAGTAGTGGAAACAGACTTGTTCATTTCAGATTGAGGTGCATACGGCACGTCACACGGCCAACGGAACTATCAAAATTATTCTTTTAGACTTCTTTTGGGAAATCCAAGGACAAAACTCCCAATAACCAACTAATTATATGTAATTGGTTTAATTTTTGTTCGAAAAGGGCTGGCAATGGGGATGATTGATTTATGATTGTTTACATTGTTTACCATTATGCAAATATACGTAAAAATGTTTTATGCGAAAACAGCAATGGCACAACTGAGGAGATTCGAATGCAAATATAATCCAGCATGCAAATCTAAGTTCAGAAGCGATTAATCCTTGTCTCATTACCGGAACCAGTGCCAGTCTGTGTATATCATGTCAATTATCAGTTGTATACATATATATTCACATGTATATTATTATATCATGCCTGATGTAAGTAGTAAACAAATCTCTTGACAACATACACGTCACTTGGCACAACTCTCCCTCCAATTCATCCACCAATAGCTAATATCATTTACTCAATCTCCAACTACATCGCAAACAACAATATATTACAACCGATCCAATTTGTGTGCTGTAACTGTATTTGAATCAAAAAAGTCGGTCTAGTAGGGTTGGGAGACAAATTATCCAAACGCACGATCCAAAAATCTAGCTTTCTTTCAGTGCAAGTCAACCTTGTTCTTTCAGAAAAAGAATAAAGCAGAATAATAAAGCTATTTATTCGAATAAACTCCGTTTGCGAATAAGAAAAATGGGGTTCTTTCAAAGCTGTTCCGTTTGATTTAATTTTCATTGCAAATATCAATTAAGTCTGTCAAGGGACTACGTGCTTTCCCCATTGGAGCAGCTTGAGAGGACATGTGAATGGATGCAAGTATGTACATATCTTTGAATCATTTAGAGTTATTCAGCCCACCCCACCTGTCAACAAGGAAAACGTTTTCTAAAACCCAACTAATCCATCAAAACTGTCTTTGGACTCGGCAGGAAATGCAATGCATTGCTTGAAGTATGCATGGTCGGTTACGGAAGGCGATACAGAAGAAATAAGTACCTATGGATCCATGTAAATGTATGTTGGAATAGTCATCGCGTACGGATTTAAACAAAAATTTAGACCGTTTGTTGAAACTACTGTTTTGTGTGCTCACATCTCGACACAACCAACTTGACTTGCAATTCCAGGATATTTTCCATATTTGCTTTTCCACATCCACTTCTGCTAAATTTAGATATAACTCCTCAGTTCGTGTCCTGTGTGAGTAAACTCGCTTGCTAAACTTTGAAATCACATCTTTAACTCGGTTAGGGTTCAAGACATTTCCAAAAACAACGTCACCCGTCCGCAGAGGAATTAGGGACCCAGCGATACAGTCCCCTGCTATGTACTGCTGCTATCTCCAATATTTCTCAATATTTGCCTACTAACTCGTATGCAAATGTTATGCCCCTATTATGTAACATCATGCATATATAACCTGAAGTCATCCAGACCAGGAATGTACATATAATCAACGTCTAGCTCGACCCAAACCGACTTTCTAAGCTCCTAAGGCGTTTCTAATAAATATATATGTAGTTTAGAGTTATGGAACAGAAATAAATGCATATTTTAGCAGTAGTAGTTCCAAACTGTGAGCAAACTGCGGGATGAAATATAGAAGAACTTTCCATAAAAGGGTTCTTCTCCAGGCCTGCTGAATTATGTTGGAACAGCAACATAATAATACAGATATATGGTCTAAAGATAGCAGTCTACTAGCTAATGTGCATATGTATGAAGTGTGGTTGGTTGTATTCTTTCATCGCTGTTTCACCATCGCTCTTCCCAACTCATTCTCCTACTGACAGTAATGGCCACGAATGGTTGAAAACTTTATCATAATATTTTACATAACGTCAGATCTGTGTACACAAGACATTTGCAATTTTCTTTTGCTTCTCTCTCTCTCTCTGCCCAGCAACGCAACACGTGTGTAGCAGAGTCGCAACCATAATGACGAGCGAAACCTCACCCACAAAGAATGGAAAAGTCACAGATCTTATCACAAACCAACGTTCTGATAGATAACTTTATGTAAACCCTAATATAGTGAAACAACTGTCAAATTAGCTGGTTATGATTTCAGTAGCGAGTCCGTAGACTACGGAAATTAAATTATTGAAATATATGTAGCGACAATCCAGTACACGTTAAAATGGCCATTCACATAGAAATGGCTTTATTTATCGACAATTAATGGCCAAATATCGAGTGTTTAAAGAAATTTAAGTTATGGAGTCTCATTCTGAGTCAGAATTTCTGACTGGTGGATCAAATCGTGCCTGGATTTAAGTGGCGTCGTTTCGTATAATGAGTATGCATGGCAAAGCTATTGGTGCAGTTTAGCTTAGTGCAAATATGCACACAATATTTATTTAGCACCATTTCAACAATAGTTGGACTCGTAAGAGACACATTA